AACATCACAATAATCCACAAGTAATCCATATGACTACAGTCCATCAGTTAACATGTGGTGAAGTGAAAAGCTGAGTGTTTGTAAAAAACAAATTACACCAATAAGATATTTTAGCGTTAAACTGTTGCTTCCAGCTAAAATACGAGTCCTCTATCCATAATATTGCTTTCTGCAGTGAAAAAGTCATCTAATCTGAATCAGGAGAGAAATATGCACAGATCAAGCACCGTTTACAAGCAAAAACAGTTCTAAACAAATATGGTTGTGGATTTTGATTTGAGAGAATGACAGAGAATGAGGTTTTTTTTTTTTGGTTTTTTTTTACTGGAGGAAGTGTTATTTTTATAGACTCTTATTTTGGCCAGAAGCAACAGTTTAAATTTAAAAGACGCCTTAATGATGGATTTGTTTCTTATAAACATGCAGCTTTTCACTTCACAAAATGGACTGGAGTGGTGTGGATTATTGTGATGTTTTCATCAGCTGTTTGGACTCTCATTCTGACGGCACCCATTCACTGCAGAGGATCCATTGGTGAGCAAGTGCAATGCTAAATTTCTCCAAATCTGTTCTGATGAAGAAAAAACTCAACTACATCTTGCATGGCTTGAGGGTGAGTACATTTTCAGAAAATTGTCTTTTTTGGGGGAATTATTCCTTTAATGTGGAGTCAGTCTTATACATTTTTGTACAGGTCTAAATTGTTTATTAAAGCAAAAAGACACAACCAGATGTCACAAGCTTTATAGCAGATTTAAAGCGGTAAGATAACCCTAGTTAACTGTGGTAAAATCACTCTATAATTATCTCATTGGTTTGTTGTTTATATAAAATGTTACAAAAGTAATATGTTAAAAACACTGATGTTGGATAAATAATTACATTAATAATACAAAATAAGTTATTTTTCAATCCCATTTCTATGGCTATTTGTTTCATAATGACGTTTAAAAGACTTCTCCGTGTATATATTTAAAGTCTTTTATTTTCATAAATGACAAAATTCACAATATCAAAATAGTGGAGGTAAAACATGTTTAAAACACGTGGTAGAAACATAAACTATAAAAGATTGTAGCTTATGTAAACATCAGTAGCATGCCCTTGGATTCACATTTTGCATGAAATCTCATTCATGTCACATTTCTATATTAACACTGACACAAACAATCAAGCCAGAAGCCCTTTATAAAAAGTCTAAAAAAAGATTTGTCTTCATTTGTAAACATCAAGTTCAAATACACTTAAAATCATTCTACAGTGTAAATATGCTTTCCATTGAGAAGAGTACAGTGTAAAGGACAAACAAAAGTAATAAATATCTCATCAAAACAACAAAGAAACAAAATCACAGCTCAGATATTGAATGGCATAGTCACTTACAGTAGCTTATAACTAAATGTTACAGTGCATCATGCAGAGGAGAGGTTTTGGTAGCAGTGTTTTTGGTAGCTCTCCTCTGAAGATTGACCTTGATTGATCGTGTTTTAGTCATTTACAGCTTTTGCATATCCGAAGCACCCTCTCAACTTACCAACAACAAGAAAAGCTCAACTGTAAGCTCATCACAGTTGAAGCAAGGCTCCTATTGCCATAGTGGTAGAAAAATGTCCTTGCAAATGCCAAGGGACAATGACATCAGCCTTTTATTTTGAAAGGTTTCCCAGGAGACACCGTGGGTTTGACTGCACTGACCTTAAGACTTCTAACCAAACAAACATGTACCATTATGACATTGGCTTGTGGTGTTTAGATAATCAAGAAGACTTCAGGATGAAGCATTGGTCGTTATGAAAAGTGATCAGCACGCTTGTAATGTACAGCACAGATGCGTCTGGTGTTTGCGTGTTTCTGTTACAACACTACTGCAGATGTTGTGATATACATGGATGAGAAAACATCGACCCACTGTTTGCATGGCAAGTTTCTACAGAGCGCAGACGTGATCGGCACCTTCTCCTCTCCAGTAAATCTGGAGCGGATCATCCCAGGAGAATCTGAAGATCTAATGGAGGAAAAAATGGGAATTAAGCTGAGATTGCATTATTTATCAGTGCACAGATGTTAAGTCTTTATGGGCCATTTTTATCCAAAATGGGCAAAAAGTTCATTAAATTAATTAATTTATTAAATAGAAATATTTAATAATATATATTGTTAATATTTATATTTAATAATATATTTATATTTTATTTTAACAATACATATTTTATTATAATGAAACATATTTTATTTTATGTAAATAAAGAAAAGAATATAATTATCAACCAAAAAAAAAAAAAGTGGATTTAATAAGTTGGCGCCCAATTAACATTTTTGTTTAGAAGTCGTGGGTTTAAAAGTCATAATACAAAAATACACCTTTTAATTATTGCAAAGTTGCATTTTAATTCAAGCCCAGGCAAGGTTTTAACTGCTAGTACCTTCCATTTAATGTGTATTTGTTAATAAATAATTGATGACTTATGAAGGATTGAGCAATTTGTACTTTTTTCGCAATATTTTGTATGTACCTTCAATTATCAAACTTTCCAAAAGAACAGCTTTGTAGGCACTTTGTTTGATTTATTCACATTTGCATGGGTTTACTTCTGTCAAATGCCATTAAGGTCACGTTCAAGTGAGGAGTCATGCATCACTGATACAATATGTACATTTCTGAAAACGAAATATGATGTCTTATACCATTTTTTAAGCATATTCAATTGTACTACCTTCTATTTACAGGTAATTTGATAGCGTACAAAGTACACATTATTATTGCTATTAATGCATTTAATCAATTTGATTCCAATATAATAGGTGTTACGTAGAAACAAAGCATTTCTGTACATATGTCAATATAAAAGTCCAATAATCGTATGTTCTTGAGCTCATTCTTACCTGTTGCTGTAGATCAGCAGAGCCTCGTCTCACCTACAGGTGTCGCTTTTTGACTAAAAACACCAGAAGCGTTACTTGAATTACTGTGCACACTATGTGGAAGCTTTTGATGATGTTTTCCCCGCCGCCGCCTCCTCGTCGTCCACCGTCGGAGCTTTTGTCGTTTGCAGCCCATCTCTTCTCCAGCTGGTCTCCGATCCAGCGCAGTCGGTGCGCAAACGGCAGCGGAGCGCATCCGTGGGCGCACACGGAATCTCCTAACGCGCCTAAAGTCTGCTCCACCGGCAGACAGCACATCGTCTCCTCTCGTGCGGGCTCTAGCTAATCTCCTTTCCCGCTGCAATCTTTGCTTAGACGTGGAGAATGGTGTTTTGTTCGGCTGTCGATGGAACAGTGTGTGTTTGTTTCTGTCGGCGCTATGATTTATTAAAGTGTCACATGGTTTAGGGTTTACATCACCATCTCCCCAAAGACAGCGGTAATGGTTAACTCTTCACTGTCCTGTTCTCTCGCATCACAGGCTTTTGTCTTTCCTGCAACAAGAGGGTGGTCGCGCAGACAGTCCTGAAATGAATTGCATCTGGAATGTGTTGCGTTGGTTGTGCTCATTCAGATGTGAGCAGATACTCTATTGATGAGATTTGGAAACATTTGTAAAAAACATTTGCTGCGTCTCAAACACATACCTAGACGGCATTGATGGTGCATTACAGAATACAGTGAAGTAAGAAAAACAGTAAACGTGTGGTAAAATAGAAAAGATTGCTTTTTATACAATTTATGGATAGTTGTTTTCTCATGCACGTGTATACATTTGATAATTTTTGTATTATACATGTGACTTTTTTGGACATCATAATAAGCACATGCACAATAGAACACAAAAGTGCATAAATGGACATTCTGTTCTATTCTATTCTACTCTAAAAGGTTCTTGAAGACACATAGCCTAGCTTTTTTTTATAAAAAATATTTTTTTTGTATACAAACTATTTTTAAAAGACTGAAATCACAAGTTTTAAAATGTCCTGATATTCTAAAAATGTAACAGATAAATAATACGCCTAATTACATAAATTAGGCATACTTTTTTCTTAAAATACAAAATATATAGATATTTAAATATATTTTTATATTTCACCTGCTACAGCTTCAACAACATTGCATTTTTTATTTTGTTGTAATTGTGCTTATATTTTTCCATGTCACAACCGTCAACTTTGTTCACACAAATTGTAACGATAAAATTTTGATTTTTTTTTTACATAATTTACCTAATTTCACCTAAATCCTATCAGAAGAAACAACAACAAATAGCTACTGCATTAAATAGCCTACATGAGACAAAATATAAGATAGATTTGATCTACATGCTTAAGACTCTCTGCTTAACTGTGGTGACAGTTTAATATAAGGAGCTAGTAATGAAACCAGTTGTCACATTTCATTCTTTCAGTGACATAAATGCCGTATAAGTTAATAATACATTTTTTGAATAGTTATAATAATATATCTTGTCAGTATTTATAATAAAAATGTACACCGTGTGTCATGTATTAGGATTACTGTGGTTGTTACTGGTATCGGTCGTTAGAGGGCGCTGGGGACAGGTAAAAAGAAATCTGGTGAGTCTGGAGATAAAGAAGTGACAAATACACAGTGAAGACAAAGTTGTGTGCGTGGTGTGATTATTTAATTTAGGCAGAGATGAAACATCATGTGCTGACCAATATTAAGTAATAAACACATTTTGTAAAAAAAAAAACCAATTGAAGAAGCAGGTGATGTTGAACACATTCATCCAAAAATAATTCCCTGATAAACATAAACCGTTATTGTTTTTAGTTTTTTAGAGTCTTATTAATCAGTGATGTAATATATTTGGGTATATTTATAAGCCTATGACAGTATTTTGTATCAAACATTTCTATAGCTACATTTAATAAATGTTTGCCCTACACACGCGCAGTTTTATGTATTATAGGCGCGTGCAGCGGTTATCGCAGGTTCTCTGGTTACGCTCGAAATGCTGTCTATGTAGACAGCTCACTAGTTTCTGAGACACAGCCTTTGTCTTGTATTGTAAATAATTGTTCGTTCGGGTGGGTGAGGAATAAGCGCCACGCGGAACAATTCCGCGTGAACACGATATCCCAGCCGAGGCCATTTCGCGGTCGGATCGCTGTTTGTTTTGATGCCAGCAGCGGGGTTCCACAAAACTTGCGTGTGAAAATAACGTTTATAAAAAAATGAATGCAAACGCAACGTGATTAAATGGGAATGGAAGAGGACGAGCTTTCGACCTTCCGAGAGCGATGGAAACAGGAGTTAAAGAAAAATACCAAGACATCGTGTAAAGACAAAGAGAGATATTTTGGGCATCCCAGCAGCAAAGACAGCTCATCTCTTCACCAGAGCGCGAGCTTTTGGGAGAAACAGAGCAATGCGTCAGAGCAAAGTCAGCCCACGCCGAAAGACCAGCCGCAGTACGTGTCGATCGCCGAGGGTTTGTTGGACGGCAGAAGCAGTCCACTGCTGGACAGAATCGAGCAGGAGCGAACGCGTAGGAAACGCGCTCCCTGGAGCGAGGCGCTCAACACAGACGCGCCCCCCAAAAAAGGCAACAAGTGCCAGAAACTGCTCGAGCAGTTCCTTCAGGACCTGGTAACGCTTCTGTTATGTAGCGGTTCATGATATTGACTGTGTTTGTGTTAATAATAAACTCGGATTTGATGTGTTTAGAATGAAATGAATGACATCCCATTCTTTGATGTGGAGTTGCCTTATGAACTGGCGCTCAAGATTTTCCACTTCCTGGGCAGAACGGATCTAGGACGATGTGCTCAGGTAAATATGAATGAGTGCATGCCTATTCTATTCTATTCTGATTTCCAGGTGATATTTTTATTTTATAGTGCTTGAAGTACAATGGTTAATATTCTCTTAATTTCTTTTGTTCCAGGTGTCTAAATCCTGGAAGGTGCTGGCTGAGGATGAGGTCCTGTGGCATAGATTGTGCCTGAAGGAAGGTTATCACAATGGGGCAAGTATCTCTGACTCCCCCTGCTGGAAGAGCACACTCAGAGACTGCCGCAACACTGAGAATGTGGTGAAGTCAAACTGGAAGGTAAACAGCATCTTGCCTTTACAATCCCAGAAAGGGTTGATCATTCTAAAACAAGAACATTTATTACAATAGGACTACTATTTATTTTTATGTTCAATGAATTTATGAATTATAAGCTAAAATACAATTAAAAATAAAATCATATAAAAATATGAGATTCAAAAGTAATTTAGTTTGTCTTAAAATAATATTTTTTACACCTCTTACACCTCTAACAGAATCGTGTTGGGTCCATTCGTCATCTGCAGTATGAGCTGGGAAAGGTGTTGTGTGACGTCAGTTCCTGTGCTGGTCTTGTAATTGCTGGGTATGCTTTACTGAGGCACATATGATTAATAAGCTATATGCTATCCGAACACTACAGATCACATAGTCATTGTGTGTGTCTGTTCTGTACAGCTACACCTCTGGTGATGTCCGTCTATGGGACACGCTTCACTGGGACAAAGCTTACCTGCACCCCACACATTTCATCAGAGATGAAACCCCTGCACCTTATGTTAGTCACGTACGCGTCAATAAGACCGTAGCCACAGCCGCTTATGAGAATGGTAAGAGATTTGTAGGGGGTGGGAGGGGTTTCAGCACACTTTTTTTTTTTTTTTTGCTAAAAGAATAACATTTCCTTTTAAAAAAAAAAATTAGTTAACAAGTAGTAGTTAACTACTACTTGTTAACTAATAAAAACAAATAAAAAGTAGTTAACAAGAACCATATAAAATACTTCAAAAGCATTTATTAATTATTAATAAATTAATAGATATAACCTTTCTTCACCAGTTGGTCGATTACAAACATTTTTTCTGTTACAAATTTTCTAAAATGTTATGTTTAAATATGGGCATTATATAATTAAATATGTACGCTGCAGCATTTGCATGAATTTCCAGAACATAAATCTGAACACCGTGCAAAGCCAGCTTCAAAATGTTTGCTTCATTTTGTTGACATAGCAGGATCAAAGGATTTTACAGAGGGGTTTTTGGATGTCTTTTTATCACTCACATAAATTAGAAAAGAAAAAAAAATTCACCCTGATTTTGAGAAAAAAAAAGTTGTATAAAATCAGGGTAATGATATATGAACAAACCCCTCTGTAAAAACATAAATAGGAATAAAACTGTAGTGTAAGTGCATGTAAGTGCTGCTAAATTGAGATTTCTGGCTCTGTGCAAGAAAAACTAATTTTGAGAAACTCTTAACTCAAATTTTAATTCTGATAATACATTTTGTCATGTATGTCTAGGCTGTGTAGATGTGTGGAGCACTGAAACAGGTCTTGAGCCCATTCATCAGTACCAGCACCTCCAGAGGGTTCATGCTCTGGATCTAAGCCCCGACAGTCCGGCTTTGGCCTCTGCATCAGGGCCAAATGTGCGGGTGGACTCCCCAGATGAGCAGAGCTACTGGAGATCACAATGTCTCGTTCAGTTACCAAAGCCTGTGAGTTTAATCTGAGAAAAGCAGAGCAGATGCCAACTATAGTAACAGCTGACAAAATGAGTCATGCATGTGGGCAATTTTGGCACTAGAAAGACATTCCATAGATTCAGGCAGTTTGTTGCATCCACAACTCAAGCAGAATAATGCATAACCACGAACCAATCATGTATTGATCAGAGAAACTGTGTTTTGCAGGTAGATGGGGTATTGGTGGTGCCAGGGAGGCGGGACGTCCCTTTGGTCACAGCGTGGGCAGGTGAGAGTGTTTACCTGCTGGATTCCAGATGGAATGAAGAACAGGAGCCAAGAGTTCTTCACTCTGTATACGGCCATCCAGTGACCTGTGTAGATGTGTCACCCAGCAGAGCTGCACTGGGGATCAAGAGCTGCGGATGGGGCATGAACGACGGGGGAAACAAGGTATCTGTACAATCACATGGTGCACTTTTGTGCAATGTAATAAAAAATAGTAATAGTAAATAAATAATGATAATAATACACTTTAAAAAAAAAAGAAATTAATACTTTTCAGTATGTATGCATTAAAGTGATCAAAAGTGACAGTAAAGACATTTATTATGTTACAAAAGATTTCTATTTCAAATAAATGCTGTTCTTTTGAACTTTCTATTCATTAAAGAATCCTGAAAAAAATATTATTATTATTATTCAGTACAACTGTTTTCAACATTGCTAAAAAATCTCAAATGTTTTTTGAGCAGCAAATCGGCATATTAGAATGATTTCTGAAGGATCGTGTGACACTGAGTAATGATGTGGAAAATTCAGCTTTGCATCACAGGAATAAATTACATTTTAAAATATATTACAATAGAAAACAGTTATTTTGCATGGTAATTATATTTCACAACATTACTGTTTTACTGTTTTTTTTTATTTTTTTATCAAATAAATGCAGCCTTGGTGAGCAGAAGAGACTTACTTTAAAAACATTCCAAAAATCTTACAGACCCCAATTATTATTATTATTTATTATTATTATTATTATTATTATTATTAGCAGTAGTAGATTTCCCTTCAAATCTGTTTGCTAAGAAAGCTATAAAAGATCTCTCACATCAAAACTGACCAGATTTACTTTCTTAATACATGTTTCTGGTCTTATTGTGCACAACTGTGCATGTTATTCCAAGTACAAGCTGTTTTATCATATCAAAATGACTTTATGATGTTGCCTGATGTCACCAAGCACTCTTATTTTTCAATACCATTTGGGTATGCAATGCCCACTTTTCATAATCCAGTGAATATCTAATTAATTAAATCAAGCCCCGCCATACGTTTTTCCTGTTGAATATCTTATTGTCAATATAGGAAATCTTGCATTGCCATATACATAAAAGAGAGACTACTTCTGATAAATGATTGGCTATTTATACGGAAGGAGGCAAATTACATTTCTTAATCCATTTCCCGTTTTCAGCTGCCTTTTGTGTTGCATCATTTGCATATCCAATCAATTTATGCATCAGAGTAGACATTAGGGTTTTCCAGATTTGATTTTAAGCACTCTTTTACTAGAGTAATCTTTTACTTAAACGACATTTAATTAGATTATTTATGTTGTTAAATTTATTTAAAAATACATTTTTGAGATTTACCTTTGCAAGCTCTTCAGATGAAATGGCTGAATTTCAACAAACGATAGTGGTGAAATATAAACTTTGTTGACTTGTTTTTGATCGTACTCGACTTTTAAAGCTGACAAAATAGTAGAAATCATGACTAATTTCAAGTTTTAAACATTTTTCTGTTGGTCAGACAACAAGGTCCTTACTCCATCCATTGAATTATATTCAACCAAGTCAGGCTGCTCAAACAAACAGATCACAATTCCATTTGTGCCACTGGTGGTACAGAAATAACACATCTTAAAAAAAAACACTTTTGGTGTTTTATGCCTTTATTTAGGTAGGGCAGTAGGTGGACTGGAAGCGAAGTGGGAGAGAGAGAGGGGGATGGGATTGGGATTGGGAAAGGTCCACGAGCTGGGACTCGAACTTGGGACGCCCGAAGCACAACACACTGCCCACAAGGCCATCAGGGCCAACACACATTTCATCTTTTAATTGTGCAAAAATATATTGCATGATTTATTAGCAGATGATTTTATCTAAAGTGAATGACAGTACATTATTACAGGATCAATTGGGAGTACGCTGAGGTTTAGAGTGTTGCTCAAGGGCACAGAAGTGATGTTTTATGGATCATCTCTTATGAGTGTTGTCACTACCAGCTGAGCTCTTTAACCACTGAAGCCACACCACCACATGATGTCAACAAGTGTGGTTTGGTGATCTCATGTGGCCCATCCCTGATGTTTACATAATTTGAGCCCACCAGTGAAGTTCAGTGTGACCTTATTCCCAAAGTCATGATAAATAAAAAGTTGTTGTTATCTTAGGAATAGACCTGTTACTTAATTAACCCAACCTTGGGTCCCAATGCTCCTAAGAATCCCTAGTAGTATGTTTCTAAGTCTGGCATGTGAAGCTCAGAGATTCATTTAGAGGCCATAGACAAATCAGTGTTATTTTAGTATGTAATATTATAGTTTTTTGTTAATATTTTGAATTAAATGTAATTTTATATTTTCTGTTTTTAATAATTTTTTTTAAATTAAAAATATGTCATTAAAATGTCTATATTGTAATTAAAATATGTCTACATAGTTTTTATTACCTGTTAGTTTTAGTTAGTTTAGTACGCAAAAGAGAAAGGGTTATTATAGTTAATTAAAACCATAAAAAAATTAAATAACTTTTGTTGTTAACCGAAATAAAGTATATAAATAAACGTATTTTATTTCAGCTAGTTTCCAAGGCAGCATAATCTCATTTTCATTTAGATTAACTTAATGTAAAACAACTAAAACTAGAACTGAAAAAATACAATAAACTAAAAATTACATAGACATATTTAAAAACAACAAAAACTAATAAAAATGACAAAAACACACAACAAAATTACTAAAACTGTAACTAAAATTAACACGAAAGCATGAAATATAAAAATAAAATAATTCAAAATATTAATAAAAACTATAATAGTATCTCAATGTTACTAAAATAACACTGGCTGAAATAAAATAATACTAAAAAATAATAATAAATGATTAATGATTAGAATTATGATTATAAAGTATAATTATTCATAAATAATAGTTAATAAAGTTAATTAAAATTCATAATAAAAAAATGCAAATATTTTATTTCAGTTAATGTTTATTTTTCTTCAATTCAAATGTTTTTGTTATGTTTTTAGTTTTGGTTAACAATAGCAACCCTGGTGCAAAGTTTCTCCAGAGGCTTTGAGTTTGAGCCGGTGCAGTCTTGTACTCTTACTCTCCTGGTTAAAAGCTCAACTATCATGTGAAATAGACCTTAAAATAAACCTCTCCAAATCACAATAGCCTTCACGGCAAGTCCCCAGTGTATTTATGCAAACGTTTAAATAGTCTGTGTTCGAGTCTCTGGGGGGAGATCAGCGCTCGAGGGGGAGGGATGGGTTTACTCAGGGGAGGCTGGTAGTTTTTCAGTGAAGCGACAGGCGTAGATGTTGACCGTAATCAGATGAGTGCTTGATAGATGGATGCAGATGGTGTCCTGTTGTATCACACAATGCTTTGGCTCTCCTTCTCCACTGACATCACCCTCATTTAAACACTCTCATTAACCAAACGGGCACCGGCGTGGCTGTTTAGAGGCAGCAGAGAGTTTAAACGACAGGACAGTTTGTCAAAGTCAGCCTCTGCTGGAGTGGATTGTTTCGCTGTTTTATTTAATAGAAAGTGTTACAAGCATATCTCTTGTTGCTTATCTTGTCGCACTGAATTTTGAGAAACACATTGCATGGCCTAACAAAAAAGTGTTGCTTTTTTGTCAAAAAACCTTCTGTACATAGGCAGTGAATAGCTTTTTCTGCAGGTCAGTGCCTGTGAGCTGTGCATTTGAAAATACATTAACATAATAGAAACTTGTTATAAGAATATAAGAAAAGGTTAAGAATAAAAATTAAATAATGGAAAGAAAGAAGACCGTACCATACATGTTTTATCATATGGATGTTACTCTGACATCTAAAAACTGTTTGTACCAGCCTAAACTGGTTTGCTGGTCTTAGCTGGTTTAAGATGGTCTAGCCAGCTGAAAAGTGTCCTCCAAAACCTCTCTAAAACCAGCCAACAGACCAGCTTGACCAGGTGACCAACTAGAACCAGCAAACCAACTTAGGCTGGTTTACTTTTAGAATTTTAATTTGATTGAACTTTTATTTATTTAATTTATTAATTTATTTTGTAGAATTGTAGTATTTAGATACTTAAAAAGGATATCATTTTATTACAATTGTAACAATGTAGCACATTGCCCTGAATGAGTGTTTTTACTACTTACATATAAGTATATATATACTAAATACATATAATAAATAATGAATCAGATATTAAAGACATTTATAATGTTATAAAATAATTTGGATGCAAATAAATGCTCTTGCTTTGAACTTTCTGTTCATCAAAGAATCATAAAATCACAAAATATGAAGCAGCTGTTTTCAACATCCGTAGTACTAATAAGAAATGTTTCTTGAGCAGCAAATCAGAATTGTACTGGTTTTGAACAGTAGTGTATGTTAATATCATGGTAGCTTTTGTAAGGGTGATATGTTCTCAAACCTCTTGTCTATCAAGGAAACAACTGCTGATGTGTTGTTTTCCACAGATATTTATCATCATTTTACTTTAGGAAGTGAAACCGTTAACCTCACTTTGGTTTGATGCTCCTGTCTTCAGTCTTTCGAGGATCTCAGCACTTTATCTTGCAGCACATTTTGCAGGAATCATACGCCGTTTCATGTTGTGTCACTCTTCTGTGAGCTACTCTACAAGTTTCCATTCTACCAATTCATGATTAGCGCCTTTCCCATCCGTGTGATGTCTTGTCTGTCAGCTGTGGTGCATGTTGACAGGTTTTTCAAACTGCGAGAGGGAAGTCAGACGTGCCAGAACCGACGCTGGTGAATCCAAGGTGTTTGTGTGTTATTAAATGAGAAGACATATGCCTCATTAAAACTTGTCAAAAACAGAGTTCACTGTCTGTGAGGTAACAGAGTGAGTCATAGCATGTTTTGGTGTTTATTTTTTAACTTGAGCACCATTCGGACTTTGAATTACTGTTATTACCAATGCACATTTTGTGATTACATATAATAATTAAGATGAGATTCAGATCTCAGCAGTTTTTACTAAGATGTCTAGTGTCTAATGTCTAGACGCCTTTATGTGTTTTAATCTGGTTTGTTTTTCTCTCACTGCTTTATTTAGTGTATGTGGGAGTCAGTTGAATTTTTTTCAGCTTTCTGTTGTCATCTTTGTTTTTGAGTTGGAGGACTGGAAGCTCTGGGCATCTGTTGTGTTTGTGCATCACAGTGTGTGTTTGAAGCGCTGACCCAGACACACACACACACACCGTGTGGATCATGCTGGCAAACCTTGAAGCGCCACTTTCATGTTTAACAGCCAGATAGGCTGGTGAAAATGTGGCACTCTTGCACCTCCAGGTGCTGAAATTCAGAGATGTAGAGCAGTGTCTCGTGAGATCAGGATGAATCTGTTTAACAATATATAAGGGCTCGAAAATCTAGAATTATACAGAATATAAAGGGACACATTACAGGAGTAATTGATGATTTTAGTTGTATTTGAGAGTTTTGGTTTCTACGGAGTAAACTTTCTATCGACTACCAACATTTCTGAAAACCTCCCAACTATTTTTGAATAGCCAACTATTTTAATTCATCACTTTCATCCAGTAAACAAAGTGCATCGGTTATCATTTTTCAATTATCATTTTCTTGAATTGTCATTTTGCTCATATGGCAAATGCGTCACAATAAAAATAAGTAGCAGCATTTTATTTTAGATTTTGACATTATTTTTTATTTGTTTTATTTTTAAATGTATTGTTATTATCATTAATATTATCATTTAAAAAAATTTTTGTTTGTTTTATGTGTAGTAATTTTCAAAGGTGTTTTTTTTTTTTTTAATTAAAATTTTAACCTATTGACAGAGATCTCTGGTGATAACCAACCACAAAGCTATTGGTCACAAAAAGATTAAAAAAAAAAAAAAGATCAAAAGAAAAATATTTAGTAGAGATTATAACAACAAAAGTATATTCCACTTTTGTTGTTATAACGTGCAAATTTGTGCAGATTTCATTATACAATTAAGCCTATTTTTATATTTAAAAAGAAACTTTAATAAAACCACAATACAAAGAATACTTATTATACAAAATTTTTGGTGGTCTATACACAGTAGCCAGAGCAAGAGATACGATAGATTTCTTTTGCATATCTAAATACCAAATATGTTCTTTTAATACACTACTGTTCAAAAGTTTGGGGTAATTAAGATTTTAATTGTTTTTTAAAGTCTCTTGTGCTCACCAAAGCTGCATTTAGTTGATAAACAATACGGTAAAATCATTGTTAAATATTATTACAAATATTACTATTACAATATTAAAATAACTGTTTTGTGTTTTAATATAATTTAAAATGTAATTTATTTCTAATTCTAATTTGGTGCTCAAGAAACATTTCTTATCAAATTTGAAAACAATTGAAACTTAACTTAAACTAAATATATTCAGGTTTATTTGATAGGAGGACTTAATAGAAAGTTCAAAAGAACAGCATTTCTTTGAAAACGATTTTTATTTGGTAGCATTGTACATGTCTTTACGGTCACTTTTGATCAGTTTAAGACTTTTTGAGTCCTTGCTGAAATGTATTAAGTTCTTTCCAAAATATAATCTGACCCCAAACATTTGAACGGTAATGTACATTTTAATGAAGTGAACACTGAATAGTTTCACATGCCAAAGCTTCATCTTGATTTAAAGGCGGTAATGTTTATATGAAAATGCTATTTGTGAAATGTGCTGAACCTCAGTGCAACAGCTAAATCATTGTTTACTTGTGTAAACACCTCCATAACCTCCTGAATCCCGTAATGATGAATAAATCCCAAACATAATCCCAGTAGTCTGTCTTCTCGCCAGTGACATATGCACTCATCGCCGCTTCATTCTAATCAGCTTTCCTCCTCAAGTCTTTACATATTGTAGCTTTACATATTGGAAGCTTTTCTCGTGTCTTGATGACAAACTCCGGTTGGCTGTAATTTTTGGGTCCTCTCAAGGATTTTGGCTGGCAGCACGGTGGCTTGCAATTAAGTGTGTCTGGCCCAAATTGGAGGCACTAAACAGCTGGCATGAGCTCAAATCTGACATCATGCAGTTCTTCTCTCTTCTCTCTCTTTTGTTTAACATCTCTATCTGTTGCCTCGATAATTTGCCTCCAATTTGGCCCGTGCCGTTGTCTTTCCTTTGCTCACTGTTTAAATGGCAGCTGATGCAATCAGTTAAACAATCTCTTTTTAGGATTGAATTACCTCAGAGATGGCATTTAATGTGAGCGGATTGATCAAGAGCTTTAGATGTTTTAAAGCACCTGGACTGGCGGTACACTGGCTCATTTTCAATTATTAAACACTTTGCTTCTCTGTGTCTTCAGAAAAGTTTGATTGATAAAGTGAGAAGGAAGTGAGTGTCAGAGTTTGCAGTTTAGAAGACCTGCTTCTTGATTAACTTAACTGTAGTAAATTATTTGAATGCAAGTAGAAGGTAGGCTATTGCTCTAAAATATCAATGCAATATTGCAAGAACTGTAATATTGATAATATTATATGAACAGACTATTTATTGACATAGACTTTCATGCTTTTCTTTTTATGATCAATAACTTAGTGGTTGGTAATTGTTTGTTTAATAATAAACAAAAAACAAAACTAAAATTAAAATTAAGCGAACATAAAATTAGACCTTGGTACCTATTATGACATTTGCCATACAGGAAAAACATCAATTAAGAAAAAAAGTTCATTGAAATATGTTAACTGAAGCACTGCCCTACTATATTTTCCACTTTGTTTTAATGTTTATATCCTATTTATATTTATGTACCCACTACCCATAAACATGTGGTTTGTCACTTTGCATGTTGTAAGACGGCCATTGGGTGCTTATCATAACATCACAAAATGGCAAAGGCTTAGCTCATGAATACTAATTAGATCATTTTTAAATAATTTAACATGGTCTTTTACTGTTTTGATGAGGTAGATTATGAGATGTATGCAGGTCTGTAATCAAGTTTTTGCTCAATTCCAAGGCAAAACTGAATGCAGTTTCAATAGCACAATGTATTTCTGATCAAAGGAGCTAATGATTAACTTGATTAGCCAAAGCTGTCACTTACATCGACAATTGGCCAGAGTAGAAGTTCACTACTGTTTAAAAGTTTGGGGTATGTACAACTTTTTAATATTTTCAAACAAAGTCTTTTACGCTCACCAAGGCTGCAATTGTTGGATCAAAAATACACTAAAAACAGTAATATTGTGTAATATTATTACAATTTACAAGAGCTGTTTTCTATTGTAAAAGATTTTAAAATGTTATTTATTCCTGTGATGGTAAAGCTTAGACTAAGTTGTTAAACAGTAAGTCATGTGAGAAATAACCATAGAATGCAAACATCTTAGCTGCCTCTAGTGGCATATAATCTCTAATAAACCTAAAATGATAGCGATTAAACTCAACCTGCTTACAAACGTTTTTAACCTGAGCTTTAAATGTAAGTTTAGAATCTGTCAGTATTCCAAGGTATTTATATTGAGAAACTACCTGCAGCCTCACCCCTGACACAAAAACATCCGGCTCTTTACTGATAGTATTTGACAGAGAAAAACATACATACTGTTTTGGACACATTTAGTTGCAAGCAATTCTCTTTTAGACATTAACCATAGAAGTCGTAAGTCCATTTGCAAATTGTGTGAAACCATTACCACATAAAAAAGATCACAGTATCATCTGCAGACATTTGTATATTAGTGCCAGGATATGCAGAATGAAGATCATTTAAATATAAAGCAAAAAACAATGGACCCAAAATAGATCCCTGAGGAACACCAGTAGATGTACCTAAATCAGTTGATTGATGATTTTGTACTCTAATATGCTGAGACCAGTCTGACAGATATGATTCTATCCAATTGAGTGTACACTCGTAAAAATAAAGGTGCTTCACGATGCCATAGAAGAACCTTTTTGTCTAAATGGTTCCATAAAGAACCTTTAACATCTGAAGAACCTTTCTGTTTCACAAAAGGTAGGAAACTGATTGGCCTATAATTATCGATAGAAAGGGGATCTCCACTTTTAAATATTGGAAAAACAATAGCTGACTTCCAAACACTTGGAAATTTACTCTGAGAAATCGAAAGGTTAATCATTTTGATTAATGATTACTCTCTAAGCATAACAACATCCATACCATATTTATCTTTTGCTCTAGATGGTTTAAGAGATCTAATCATTCTCATAACGTCTGATTCAGTAACAGGCCTTATACTTAAAACAGGCTCTGTGTCACATGATCCTTCAGAAATCATTCTAATATGCTGATTTGCTATTATCCATGATGAAAACAGTTCTGGAAACCATAATAATTAATTTTTTTTTTCAGGGTTCTTTGAGTAGTAATCTAAAAAGAATAGCATTTATTTTAAAATAGAAATGTAAAAGCCTTTACTGTCGCTTTTAATTAGTTCAATGCATCTTTGTTAAATAAAAGTATTAATTTATTTTTTTAAAATCTTACTGTCCCCAAACTTATCAATTATCAGTGTACTTTTCAAATCAGTGGTCCCTTTAACTGAGAACTTCAAATCCCTTTAGATAAAAGCATCTGCATAATGAGAACCGTTTACATGCTAAAATGCCAGTTAAACAGGTTGCTTCAGATGTTTTGAACTGACTGTGTACCTGAAATGTTTAAAGTGTGTTAGAAGTTCATAAGAATGCATGCAAGACTTGAGAAATGTGTTATCTGGCATCTGTGGATGCAAGCTGTGGGCCTGACATTTGAACCTTAGCAGGTGTTACGGCACAATCCTGCCAGTTTTACAATCTATCTTCTATCTCACCAGGAGCAATCGTCCTCTCTCCTCAGATTCAGGTGTACAACCTGGAGATCAGCCAGTGCGAGCTGACCGTGGGGAACTCGGCGGGAGACTTCACCTGCGTCAACCTGAGAGACAGCCACCCTCACCTGCTGGTGTGTGGGAACAAAGACAGGCGGTACGACACGCTCGCAAACATGTGTACCTCATCTATCACTGTTACATTCACACACACACACACGCTCGTTTCTGTCTTCTGTCTGGCAACTTAAAGCCTCCTGTGACTTGAGTTTCTTAAACACAGAGAGTTTGATGAGTTCCGATGGAATAGTAGCTCTTTCATTTACACCTACAGCTGGTGTGAATTCTCTTATTTTAGGTTCCATTATATTTCCCTAGAGCAACTAGTTTTATTTTTTAGGATTAGTGGGAATGTTTTGAATGGGTGTATCTCATGAAGCCTGGTGACACAGAGCCTTGGGGTTCATGAGAGACAGATTTGAATTGTGTTCTCATCTCCTTCCCCACTCTTGTCCTTCTGTGGGTGAATCTCACAAAGCGTTTTAACAGCATGTTTGCGTAAAAAAAGAGATGCCTATTTTTATGACAACTAAGTTTGTTTGAATTGTGACATGATTTTCATAA